TAAGTGCGAAAGATTTTAGGGGTGGTTGCCGAAAATATAAGTTGAAATATGCTTCGTTTCTGAGATACAAAGTGTTTAAATTTTAAATAATTTATTAGGCTATTGCATAGCTTTTATCGCGGGCTTTGAGCGCGGCGACCGAATCAAGAAATTTCCGTAACGACCGTAACGAAAATAACCTAACACCCCTTACTCCGACCGGCACAGCGGTGCAGCGTTGAATGCCGTGGAAGGTTTTATCCGAATCCGATCCTATTCATATTAGTATGAAGCGATGTTAAATATACGTCTGCGGACTGGAACGTTTATGCAATACAAGAACTAGAAGTTAAGTAATAATGATACTTTTATAGTTATTAAATCATATATTTATGTGATTCCATTAAATTACAATGTATCATTTGGGGTAGTTTTTGCAGGGGCGGCTCAAGCACAGCCCTAGACACACCACTGACTTTTTATATGCGTTTTTTGTACAATAACTCCTGACCTACTCTTAGTTTTATTGATAAGTTAAGTCCAGGACGGAGGAATTGCTCTAGAAATTTAGTAAAAAAATTGTAAATAGCTCGGTAACTAAGAAAGATATAAAGTTTATTTTGCTATAAAAAAATTTTAAAAATTCATAGTTCTTTTTGATTTTAAGATCGATAAAGCAGGTTTCTTTATGTCAAAAAAAAATACGGGGGGGTTAAAAGGTACCCAACCCCCAACTTTTTTTAAAGGGGTCCTTTTAAATTTTTTTTCTACTTAGAATATTGAGCCTATAAATATACAGCACTGGCAAAAATTTCGAAGAAAAAATCGCATCAGCAAACTTTTTGATATAGGTAAATATAGCTAAATCGACTTATTTTTTGGTAATCTATCTGAGGATGAATTTATGACATACCTTTTTGAAACACCCTGTATATTAGTACAGAGGATTCCAAACTTATATAAAGATGTGTTTGGTGGCGCAGAGCATACAGTGGTCAAAATTTGGATAGTGCGGATAGCAAAGTTGGTGGTTCGAGTCCCGAAACTTTGACTTTTTTTTTGTTATTTTTCCTTAAAAAAAAGGAAAAATATTATTGTTTTATTATTTCACAGTCTTGGTAATTTATAATGTTTAGTTTTTAAAAAGTATATACTCATTTAATGCATAACGAGGTTCATTCAAGTTCAGCTACCAGTGGAGACTTGGTTTATTTAAATTCAAAAGGATAAACAAATAGGAAATATATTATTTTTTTCGATAAGTACAACAATATTAACTTCTCATTTATTCAATAAAAAAAAAAGTTGTTTTCTTATCGGTCACCACGCTCAAAAAGTGTAACTTGAATTAATATCAAAGAAAAAACTTGAATTAATATCAAAGAAAAAAATACTGCATAAATAAAATAAATAAATAACTATAATTGCATAAGTTAAAAGAAAATGCTATGCAATAGCTTTACCGCGGCAGTTCCCGAGTGCCAACGTATTTTTTTTTAATTTTTATTTATTATTTCAAAGAGTTTTAAAGATATTGAAAAAATGCTTTAGAGGAATAAATGTACATTTTCTGAGTTGGTTCGAATATTTTTACTCGCACCAGTGGCGTTCATGCGAGAATGCCACAACTTTTTTAATAAAAAAAAAAAAAATGGCGCGATACTGACTCTTTCCAGATTCTATAATTAACAAAATTACTTTGGCAACCAGCCTAAAATCTTTCGCACTTATATAGAAACACCCTGTGTATTTATTATAACCTGCAAATATTTTGACATTTTTGTTATTATCTCTATTTACACAAATTATAATCAAAATAAATAAAAATTTTATATTGTTTTAGACGCAGGATCCTTACTAAACGAAATTTTGGATTTTTTCGATGCAATGGCAATCAATTCAACACTTTCTCCAAAATTGCGAGTTTATAGTGGACACGATGATAACATTGCATCCATTTTGAATACTGTTGGTTCTTTTGAACCACCTTATATGCTTGAATTTGGAAGTACTTTATGGATAGAATTGAGAAATCATAATAATACAAATTATGTCAATTTGTGGTTAAAAAATGTCGAAGATTTAACTCAAATTCAAATACGTGGTTGCAAGTTGGATTGTCCTTTAGAACAAGTTAAAATCATATTGAAGGATATTCTGGTTGATGTCGAAACTTGGACAAAGGAGTGTAATTCTTCTGATAAAAAATCATCTGTAAAATAGGAAGTACTGTATTGATACTAGTTTTGATTTTATAATAAAAGTGCATTGTAAAACAAATTATTTTTCTTTTAAGCTATTGCATAGCTTTTATCGCGGGCTTTAAGCGTGGCGACCGAATCAAGAAATTCCGTAATTCCGTAATGAAAATAAACCTAACACCCCCCACTCCGTCCGGCACAGCGGTGCGGCGTTTAAAGCCATGCATCGTCTAACGTCGTATCAGTTTGGCAGACTTCGGCATGGTGTTTGTGTACGTGCGACTAGACGAATGCGTGTAGACTAGCTGCTAACTGCTCCTAACTGATTCTATCTCTTTTAGACACAATTTCGGAAAAATTGAATTTGAAAATGAATAATGATCCACAAGAATCCACAACAAAATATGGGACCACCATTGACGCGGTATTTTCTAGATATTTAGAGGATATCAAGTCTCAAACTTATGTTTCTTATTTCAGTTACCTATAGTTTCAATGATACAAATTCCTAAATAACCCACATGTATTGTAAGATAATAAAAATATTTTAAACAATATTAACTTCTTATTTATTCAAAAAAAGAAAAAAAATTGTTTTCTTATCGGTCACCACCCTCAAAAAGTGTAACTTGAATTAATATCAAAGAAAAAACTTGAATTATTATCAAAGAAAGAAAAAAACTGCATTAATAAAATGAATAAATAATTATAATTGCATAAGTTGATAAAAAATGCTATGCAATAGCTTTACCGCGGCAGTACACAAAAGACACATAATTGTAAGATTGTTTAATATAAAATGGGTATACAGAACATAATGATAAAAAAATAGTTAATTGTCCATTCAAAAAAATTAAATAAAATATTTAAGGGTTTACTTAAATGGAACGGAAACATAATATTTTCACCGCGTGAAAATAAAATAAGAATGTGAGGAAGATGTCTTTAGGCACGAAGTTGGTACAGTATTTGCATATAAATCCTAAATAAAAATCTCATAAAAGTTGTAATTAGGGTTGCCACCTGTCCTTTTTTAAAGCAAATTGTCCTGGTGACCTTTTGAAGCTTAAAATGTTTCTCTCTTAAGCTAGCAGAACCAACTGGGCAGAATCGATTAAGATCTATTACATTATTTAGTACCTATTTTGTACTAATTTGGAAGGGGTACAAAATCTAAAAATTTATATTTTAGCGGTACAAATTATGTTACTTTCATTGCAGGAGTAATCATTGATTCTGCTCGTGCAAATGGGTACTTTACTCTTGAGCCTAGTATGAGTTTAGGATAGTATCTATAGGAATGGCAGGGGTACAAAATCTGAAAATTTATATTTAGACGAGACGAGACGAGACGAGACGAGACGAGACGAGACGAGACGAGACGAGACGAGACGAGACGAGACGAGACGAGACGAGACGAGACGAGACGAGACGAGACGAGACGAGACGAGACGAGACGAGACGAGACGAGACGAGACGAGACGAGACGAGACGAGACGAGACGAGACGAGACGAGACGAGACGAGACGAGACGAGACGAGACGAGACGAGACGAGACGAGACGAGACGAGACGAGACGAGACGAGACGAGACGAGACGAGACGAGACGAGACGAGACGAGACGAGACGAGACGAGACGAGACGAGACGAGACGAGACGAGACGAGACGAGACGAGACGAGACGAGACGAGACGAGACGAGACGAGACGAGACGAGACGAGACGAGACGAGACGAGACGAGACGAGACGAGACGAGACGAGACGAGACGAGACGAGACGAGACGAGACGAGACGAGACGAGACGAGACGAGACGAGACGAGACGAGACGAGACGAGACGAGACGAGACGAGACGAGACGAGACGAGACGAGACGAGACGAGACGAGACGAGACGAGACGAGACGAGACGAGACGAGACGAGACGAGACGAGACGAGACGAGACGAGACGAGACGAAACAATAATTAGTCCAAAATTAATGAAGCAAATTTCAAAATTTTTGCACGGTTAAATAGAGAATAAAACCCCCTTTCAAATGAGCTATCACTCACCACCCCATGCCTTTTAAATTTTTCGAAAGGGTTGCTCCCATCCAGTAAGGGATAAAATTAAGAGTAAACTATTCATACAAAAATTGAAAATTTTAAATAAATAATTGAAAATTTTAAATAAGCAAAAAGTAAATTGCACGAGAGAGAAACTCTCTTATCTCGTCTCGTCTTGAATCTGCTTTCGAAAGAAAATGTCTGAGACAAGACGAGACGAGAGACGAGAATTTTTCGTCTCGCGCCTTCACTACCCAGGACCATTTCTATGTGGCTTTTGTTCGATTTCGATAGCTGATGCATGCAGTTCGTTCTAGGATGATTGCAGGAATTACTAGGGGTTTCAGAGACTTTGGTACAGAAATGAGAAATTCAAACCTAATTTTACGTAACGGAGGAAAAAATAGTTTAGACAATAAGATTACCTATTTTTTCTTAATTTATAACATGGTGAATTTAAAAATATATATGCTGTTGTTTAGAAAAACAAAGTTAACCTTAAAATAACCTTGAAGGTCATCATCAAGAGAAAATCCAGGAATTACGTTTTATACACTTTACGGATTCAAAATTCTATTACTTAAAACTGTTGCTGATAAATATTCAGAATGAATAATTACAACCTGCATACTAAAAGTTGGGACACCCTGTTTATTATTAAAATATTTACTTTCAAAGTTAATGATGTAATTATACTTACAATATTGATAAGGGCTTTAATTTATATTTCGATTAATCCTGAGGTACATTTTTCATTTATTTCCGTATTTAGATATTTAAACAGATATTTTTTTGATACAATACTAATACATACAAAAGTTTTGACTCAATAAACATTAAAAAGTTGTTAGATATTTGGATAAAATCCAATTAATATACCTACATTTTTTAATAAGCACCCATTGAGAATTCATTCAGATTATAACTATGAAATTTATAAAGAGTATATTCTTTGTGTTCTTAGTTGCAATTGCTTGTGCGGTGAATACTGATAATTTGGTGGCCCTTGTACAGGTTAGTATTTTATAGGAATGTACCACTTTGGAAAATTCCCTGCAGTAACTTAATTAGTTGCATTTCTTAAAAATAAAAAGTGCTCTAAAAGTAAATTACCAAGTTATTCATTTTAAAGTGGCCTAGGATTTTGATGAAAAATCAAGGGTTTGACTCTTTAATCCCTTATTTTTATTGTATTCTAAAGTAAAAAATATAAAGATAACAAGTCTGTATATCGAAGCCTGCAAAATCATTATTATTAGCTATGCGCATATTTTAGAATATTTCCTAAAGAAGTAGTGTCTTTTATGATAATTATCAGTAGGTGCATAGATTTATGACAAATATCATGCACGTTTGGTTTCTTCATCATGTAGATTCTGCATTGTATACCATTATAATAAAAACGAATAATCAACTAGAATTGGATCTGGAAATTTTATATCGAAAATCCAGTAAACTGCAAAGGGGTACAAACCAATAATAAAAAGATTAACAATTGGAAATAATGACAATATCGATATAAGAGAACTGCAAAAAGAAGAATACATTGAAAAAAAGACAGATGATAAGATCACCAGAAGATAAAAATATATTAAATAGAGCTACCCAAAGAGTGAAAATAGAGATACTAAATCATAAGGAAGAATCCTTTAAAAGAAACCCGTCTTCCCAATGTTTTACTATCAGAATAGCAGATAACATATGAGAAAAAGACAAAACAGAAAGCTGATATTTTCGTTAACCATGCATAAAAAGCATGTCAAACAGTAAAAAACGAGATAATCCTAGTGAACCGATTCATTAAACTACTTGAAATTAGGTTATTCACTCTCAATGAAGTTGCGTCAACCAAAAGAAGGTCCCATGATATGATCTTATTAATGGAATAATATTAAATAAACTGCCATGGAAGGCTATCGTTAAATTGATATACCTTATAAATTTAGTATTTGCCTCTAAATATATACCATATTCGTGGAAAATGGTTACAGTTAACCGAATTCCTAGGCCAGAAAATTCTCCAAATGAAGTGTTATCATATAGACCCATATCATTGTTACTAATAATATCTAAACTGTGTTATAAAATAAAATCAATAACGATAATTTCTTCGTACCAATTTAGTTTTACAAACAAACAAAAACTCGACAATAGACTAAATACACATGATAGTCGATATCATCGAAAAAGCATACGAAGAAAAATGTATATTCCCAAGCATTTAACAAGGTTTGGCACGCTGGCCTAATACAGAAACTTCGAAAAATACTCCATATGTCTACAATCTTCCACCATATATTGACGGGAAAAATGTTAGAGTGACGCAAGAGGAGTCATACTCTAAAAGAAAACCATGTATCCCTCAGGGTAGTTATGTTAGGGCCAATTCTTTACTTATTATACACTAGTGATATCCCTCAACAAAAATTTGTTGAAATAGAAATATTTTTGCATAACCGTACAATATTAGCAGTAGGCCGAAATAATACGCAGACTATACAGACATTCCAGAAAATCTGCAACGGAATCAATCGAAGAACCAAAAGTGAAAAATAAATAAAACCAAACTAAATCGAATTTATTTGACTCTTCATCAAAATAAATCATCGTATTTGATTTGATTATAAAATAATACATGAATAGTTTACTAGGAGAAGTGTTTTCTTCTTAAATGTCATTTTTGCCCTTCACTTTTAAAAATAAATATGTTTTCTTTTTTAGATTTTTAGACACGGCGAAAGAACTCCCATAGAGTTTTACAAAAATGATCCATTTAAAGATCATTGGGGAGATTTAGGAACAGGTCAGTTGACCAACGTAAGTATACTCTTTAAAATACATACTACCTACTGAGCTCACCCGGTATTTCTTCGATACAGAGAATCACATTTATAGAATTGAAGGAATAATAGACCAATAATTATTTTCTTATTTTTATAAAAGATCAGTGATGATTAAAACGACTTTTTTTTTTTAAACACAAAAATATAACTATTTACTTCCAAATAAATACAGTGCTTATTTTTTCGTGTTAAGCATACGACTAGTATACAAGTTAATAAAATGGCAACCGGGCAACAAATAGTCGTCGACTAGAATTAGAAGATATGGTGGTGGGATATTATCCTAACCGAATCATAACGATAGCAGGGATATCGTAGTTGCCACATGTTCGAGGGAAAAGGACGGCTATGCCTAATACAAAATAATATGTACTGTATTAAACTATGTATACTTTGTTTTAAATTGAATATAGATATGCAGATATACAGCTAAAGATTTCCTTTGTGATAAAACTTATATTAAATTTAATAGTACAAATGTCGGCTGTTCGAAATACTTCAGCATAATGCATTAATAGAAATTAATAAAAATCAACTCTGCACAATCAATTCTGAGCGTTAATACTTGTAACGCTGAAGTAGGTATCGTCCTTGCAACACTTCCGAAACGCTGGCCCCGCATATTTGTAGGCCCTACAGGGCATTTTTGGTGCATAACCATGTACCAAATACCTGGAAACAAAGCAGAGTTGTCTTTATGCCTAAACGTATGCCGTATCAAAGGCCTATAGACCAATAACTCTGGCGTCATTTCTATTGAAAGGATTGGAAAAACTGATTGATCAACATCTCCGGCAAATCACTCTGATAGAGAGGCCATTTCATACAAACCAACATGCCTACCAATCAGGAAAATCTTGTGAGTCTGCTCTGCATCATCTTGTAACCAAGATAGAGGGAGGACTCAGTAGCCAAGAAATATTCCTAGTAGTATTTCTTGACATAGAAGGAGCTTTTGATAATACCGTCTTTAAATCAATGGTAGCTGCTACTCGCAAACATGGAATAGAAGACACTATCTGCTGGTAGATAGAAGACATGCTATGCGGACGGCAAATACAGGCACAAATGTTCAGTGAAACCATGCAGGTAAATATCCACAGGGGATGCCCACAGGGTGGAGTCCTTTCTCCTCTATTGTGGAACCTAGTGACAGATGAACTGCTGAAAACACTAAACAATCAAGAGCTGCACGCCCAAGGATATGCCGATGATATAGTCATCCTTATCTGAGGGAAACGCCAAACCACAGTCTTTGAACTCATGCAAAGAGCTCTTAGGCTGACAGAAATGTGGTGCGTTAAGGAAAACCTCTTGGTAAACCCTGACAAGGCACAACTCATAACCTTCACTAGGAAAACAAGATTAGAGGTTTTAGAAACTCCAACTCTGTTTGGAGGAAGGCTAAACAAAACGAACCAAGTAAAATACCTGGGACTGATCCTAGATAGCAAGCTTACTTGGAACCAACACTTACAAAAAGTTACCAACAAATGTAAAATATCTCTCATAGTAGGGAGACGGGCAGTTGGAAAAAATGGGGATTAAAACCAAAAATGGTCCACTGGCTATATTTGGCAATAACAAAACCCACGATATCTTATGGAGCGGTTGTTTGGTGGCCAAATGTAAACCAGAATTTAATTTTGAAATACTGCAGTTTCAAGCAAAAAGAAGGCTAAAAACAGGAGTACAACAATGAAATAATTTGACCATCAAGTACTGCGTACGACAATTAAGAACTGTAAATTATTTTATGCATCAACAAGAGAATACAGGGTGTTACCAAAAACTGAAGCAAAAAAGAAGCGGTTATTAGTTTTAAACATATTTTAGCCTGTTAAATCCTAATACTGTAGAGATAAATTAGTCGTCAATACCTGTCGTATTGGAAATAAATATAATAACAATGTGGAAGCTCTGCAAATGATCTGTAGAATCAGTTCTGCACGTAAAAAGTCGTTTTTTCGAGCAATACTTGATACAAAATTTAACATCATTTTTGGTTTAACCTGTCTACTGCTGAAAGAAAAAAAATATGTTACTAAAAATAAAACCGAGATGAAAGACCTACAGACGGAGCTAAAAGTGCAAAATCTTAGAGCAAATGCTTTTTTTTGCTTTGTTTAAAGAAGAACAGGATAATTAAAACACACAGCAACACACTACTCTAGACAGTTATACAATTTTACAGTAGTAGTAGGATCTTCAAATTCAAAATTAGACAATGTTTGAATTAAAGAAGAAGAACAAAAATAATATCATGTGTGTATCAAGCTCTTCAGTCGATAGACTTAAAAAGAATAAATACCGCATGTTTGGTGGCCGATGGTAAAAATCAACACTGATTGCATTGCAAAAATATTTGCAATTGGTGTGTTTAAGAAGAAAGATGTCATACAAATCCAATTTGAGTGCTTCCGCAAAGAGAGAAAAATAATCCATACGACCTAGTACAGTCAAAAAACTTACACTTAAGAGATGTCAATGTGTTACTAAGTAAACATTATGATGATTCTTGGAAATTTCTTCAAACTCTAACAAACTATAAAAATGTATTGGAAAAATGGTTTAATCCAGAAATTTCAGAAAACCATGATCATGAGCCTAAACAACATCAAAGTTGCTGCGAAATGCAAGAGGAGTGCTCAGATTTAATTATATAAATATGTTTGTCTTACAATACATATTTCGCTTGTATACTGTAAAGATATTTTCATAAAATTAAAGTAATTATAAGTTTTTTGTTTGCATCAGTGGAAAATAAAATTTTCTTAATGAGCTAAGACCGTTACAGTTATTTTTAAAATAAACCATGTCAGTATTAAATTGAGCTATCTCCAATATTAAATTTAAAAGAACAGGCAGATGTCGCTCTTGCCGTTATTAGAACATTTTTCACCGACTTTCGTGAAAAGAAAAATTTTTTTAACCCTAATTATTTTGAAAACCATAAAATTGACTCTTAGACTCCAATCTACTTTACTATTTTAGGAAGGTCGTCGTCAATTGTACGTTTTAGGTCAATACACAAGACAAAGATATTCGCAATGGTTACCACAAAAATATAATAAAATATTCTTCAGAGCTGAAACCACAGACGTTGATAGAACTCACATATCCGGACAATCATACCTGTATGGACTCTTCCCAGCAATAGATGATCAAATATGGCTTGAAAACGTCAACTGGCAAGCTATTCCTCTTCACCCTGCTGACCCTAAGATAGTTGCTTTTACTTTTACTACATGTTTACAGGTTTTGCTTAAAAATCTATTAGCTACTGATGAATTTGTTAAAATTAACAAAGAAAATGCGGACTTGTATGCTTATTTGTCCAAAAACACTGGTAATAACGTTTCAGATATATACAGCATCATTTCTATTTATGATGCTTTATACATTGAAAATAATGCTGGCTTAGATCTTCCCAAATGGACGCAAAAAGTCTTTCCAGATCCTATGAAAGACCTTTACGCATTTTATTTCAAAACGCTTACGTACACTGCGCAACTTAAGAGAATTTGTAAGTATTTTAAAAAATTTTACCCCGTTTTGTTCCTTTCAAATATCTCTTACTTTTTTAGATGTTGGAACATTTCTGAATGAAATAGTGGAATATTTTGAAAAAATGGCTGCAGATGCATCGTCAGCTCCCAAATTTCAAGTTTACTGCGCACACGACAATAACGTGGCAGCCATTTTAGACAGTTTTGCAAGTTTTGAACCTCCATATCCTCCAGAGTTTGGTTCTACCATCTGGTTGGAATTAAGAAAGACAATTAATGATATACCGTATGTGAACGTGTGGAGCAAAAATGGCGATAACGTCACTCAAATTAGTATAAACGGATGTGATTTGGATTGTCCTTTGTATGACGTTAAATCAAAATTAAAAGAGATTCTTGTTGATGTCGATACAGTAGATAAAGAGTGCTCTAGTATAATAAAGAAGCATTGAAATTTTGTATATTCAGCTACTGAAGAGAAATATATTTTATTAAGCCTTAAAAATCCGTATAAATTATTCTTGAAAGCAGAAAATTTACAGATCACTTATTAAGGTCTTTAATTTATTTTTCTATTTACCTATGACACATTCTTATACTTAGAGCATGAAAAACTAGAGGTGTTATTCAATTAATATTGTTATTTAAGTGGTTAAATATCCACAAAGTCTTGTATTACATGAGCCATCGAGAAAAACCATAATTGGAGTTGACTGTGAAATTGGAATATTTTGGATTGATACTCCAGCCACTTTCACAAAATGACATTTAAATCACTACATTTTCATGGTTAATTACCTCAACATGATATAAATGAGAAAAAAATAATTTTTTTTATTATCGAAATCATAATCAAAATTTACATAGACGTAGAGAAATTGTTGATAATGATCATTTACCATTAAACACGAACTATCCCGTCTCCGTAATCCAGCAAAAATGGTATGCAACATTTGCAGTGAGTTGTCGATCTTTTTATACTTTTCTTTGATTCAATGCTCCATCGTTTATTTATCTTGCTAACATTTTAAAATTCACCCATCCTATAAAGGGTTAATGTTGATAGTATAAAGTAGGAAACACTTACCATATTATAAAAAATCAAACCGTTGAAATTGCAGTCAGCAGGTTTTCAGCACTTAATTTTTTAGAAAAAAAAAAGTAGTAAACAAAATATTATACAACACAACACTTGACAAAATAAAATAACTTTAAATGAAAAAATTAATAGGATTACTTGTTTTTATGCACTTATTGCACGGTCCAGTGAACTAACCAGTTTAAAAACGCCTCTGGCGATGCATCGCTTTTATATAGCTCCAGGCATTATTCGTGTCTGAACAGGAAAAATCAAGAAAGTACCGCCTAACATGTTCTCGCAACATAGGAATCGGTAGTAACTGGATGATGTACTAATAAAATTTAGTGTGTATTTATACCTAATTCTATTTAATTTCTAAACTTTTATTTTAAAATTAATTGTTTTTTGTTTTTTTTTGCAATTTTTTTTTGGCCCTGAGTTTTGGCCTCCCTAGAGGATGGCGCCCATGTACATTGCACACTTTGCACATATGGTAGCGGGGGCCCTGAATTCACCAATTCTCCTTGTTTCTCTTACCCACTAGGCGTGCCTGAAGATAGAGTGATCACACTTCGACCGATCGCAGTACTAAATACAAATCTTTGTGAGATAAAAGAATCTTTTTCTTTCTTTTTCTACCTTTAAAACTAATTATTCAAATGTTTACAGGAAATTAATTATGTCTTATGACGATTGCGTTTGTTTTATTTCTTAATTAAGAGGAGTATTTACTTGGCTTTAGAGCAGAGCATGCAAGGGTTTCGTAGTACCCACTTTTAAAGTTTATTTTTGACACATTTTGAAAGAAAAAAAATGTAATTGTAGGTAAAGGTTAAATATGTGCTCCTCTGGAAACACTTTTTCAAAATTTCAATCTGTTTTTTCTAAAAAAAAAAACACAAAACTCGACTCTTTTCATCCTTTTCTCAATTTTTTTTAGAAAAAAGTAAATTGAATTTTGAAAAAGTGGTTCCAGTGGAGCATAGATTTAACCTTTATCTACACGTACATATTTTTTCTTTTAAAAATACTCAAAAATAAACTTTAAAAGTGGGGTACTACGAAACCCTTACATTGCAAGATTTTTCGTCTGACAAGTGGCGCCTCTGTTAGATTTTTAAGAAATTAATATTTTGTGAATGAAAACAATTTACAAAATATTTTACTGATGTTTTAAGGGGGGATAATTAAAGTTTACGTATTTGTAGGTACACCTTATTGTTTTACGTAAATCATTTCTGTAATACTAATATAGACATATTTATATAATATGCAATGGGTTTCATAGTATACGAATTTTACGGATTATTTTTTGTTTTTTGAAAAATTATGTAAGTACAGCTAAAGGAGTCACTTTTTGAACATTTGGATCGGTTTATTTTGAGAAAATGTAAGAAGATATCTTTCTATAGAAAAAAAAAAAAAAAATACAATTAAAAATGCTAGAATGGAACAATATATGTTTTTAATTTTTACAGGAACGTTTATTTTTCTAAATAAAATTAAAAAAATACATTAAAAGCTTTTTCGTCTAGAGGGCGACACAAACAAAATGTATATCCTTTTCTACTGTTTAAACGTGATAAACGTACGCAAGTTATTTCAATTTATTTTGTTTTATGTCTGTACACTTTGTTATTTTTACATACAGTAATTTTCGCTCAATTATTTTAAATTAATTTTATCATTTGTTTATTAAAAAAATATATCCGAAATTAAAAGGTATACATTGAGATTTGAATTATAAATTATCTTTTATATTGCACAAAAGTTTTTTTTTTTAATGAATACATCTTGGAGTTAAGAATAATGAATTCCAGCATGTTAACAACTCTTTAAGCTGTTAAAGTAATGTATATTTTTTCGAACTTGGTAAATCATTTTTTTTTGCTTTCGAGGGTGGCTTTGATTTCTCACACTCTTTGATGCGCGTTGCAAAAGAAGATTTTCTAAAAAGTTTGATAATGTCTATAGATGAGAAAAAAATGAATGTGACAAGATCAAGTTGATTGTGGATTGCAGCAAAATGAAAGACGAAAACGAGTCACTGTTACAAAATTTGGAGACAATTGTAAAAAAAAGAAAGGCATTTTTTTAAACAATCTCATAAAATCTTTTTTTTTTTGCTAAAGCCTTTTAATATGACATGGAAAATAAATCCTGAGCAAAATAAAAGTTGGAAATTTAATTGCAAGAAAAAGTTTTTACATGTGGACTTCTATTGATTCCGAATTTGATTATGTTGCTGCCAGTCCAGATGGAATTTAAAACAAAATACTCTATGATAGAGTTAAAAGGTCCATATGAAGCTAGAGTATTGACTGAAGAAAAAGAATATGCAGTAGAAAAATTACTTTCTGGAAAAAGGATAATACCATTAAGGGCACATTACACAAATGAATTTTTGCATTTTGTGCGTTTGGACTCCTCGAGAAATAAAAGTGGAGGAAATTCCTCATAATGACAGCTTTTGGGAAGAAAAGATGCAAAATAAAATTCCAAATTATTATATGCAATATGCCCTACCAGAACTAGTTGACAGCAGAGCTAATAGAGACATGGAAGTACGGGACAGAATGCCAAATAAATGGTGAGTTTAACAGTACGGGTTTTTTTATGAATTTGTTCTAGAAGCTTTACCTCATTATAACAGATTATTCAAACAATAAAAATAATTTTTATTAAAATATAAATTATAATAATATGCTGAAACATTATATCTGATTACTACATATTATAAAATCAAAGGTACCTTTTCATTTAGCTAACTCACACATGGCTACTCCAAGTTTAAATATTATAAATCCGCTTGAATATAAAAAATAACAGGTATAGAAAATATTTTTTAAAAACCTAGTTTATTTAAAAATATAAAATGTCATGAGACCGTTTACGATTATTTTTACATTGGCCTCCTGTTTTTGTTACTTTGACTTTTTGTATCAAAGACATATTATTATGTGATATAGAAGGAAATGTATTGCTAAACTATGGACGCTTTTCTACTCTTGGTGAATGTATTAAAATATTCGCTCTAGAAAACGATTTACCTCCCTTTCTCACAAGCTGAGTTTTTCAGAGATAAAAGGTCATGATAAGGTAACCCTTATTCCGGAGGTAATACAAAATTAGACTGTGCAGAAGGGCACTATCATCAAAAATCCAAATATTGATACCGCCGAATAGAAAAAAAATATATTTATTTTTTGGTCCAATGCACAATAAAATCTTTGAAAGGAGTAATTTTGTATATTTATTTAAAAAAAAATTCAGCCCTTTAAAAATTTGTTTAAATAGTAATTTTTTTTAAATATAATTTTATCATTTAACAAAAAGGAAGGCCCTAATGAAAAACTTAGTATAGCTCTGTTTCTCTCTACGTGTCGGCTGATGCATCACATTATTGATTTTTTCATTCTGTGACAGGTCGTTATAAAACCAACCAATTGTCTGGCATTGGAAAAAGAACCTGTTGGAAAACCTACCCTGAACACCATCACCTTTTGGATGGATTTGGCACTGATTCGTAGGTACTCTGAAAACACATTCTCTAATCTTGAAATTTTTTTTATAAAACTGTATTCAAAAACTACCAATGTTACTTCCATTAACATTTTGAGGGGATTAATGGCCTCTTTAAAATTATTGCTAAATTTCCATTGACTGAAGACGCCCTAAGATTACATTGTTTAAGATGTTTTTACCAGCTAAGTATTTGGATAAGCTCTTTAAAGAAGCAGATACAGCTTCCTAATGTTGAAGAGTATGAATGGAAAGTAGATCAAGATTGGAGCCTGATACCCACTCTCAAGATTAAGCTCGACCTGCTACCAGAAATAACAGAACTTATCATGCAAATGCAAAAAAGGTACTATACACCGATCATTTTCATACATGTACAATATTTTAACAATATTATTCTAGACTATAGAAGCAAAATTTGCAAATGCAGAAAAAAATATTGGCTACATCGGTTAATGCACCTGTATGGCTCAGAAAAACTGCAGAAATAGTTTGATCGTAGCCGCTAATGTTTTGCAAAATGTAGATTAATGTGGTGAATCTGATTCTGATTAGTTTGAGTCTTGTACTTATATATTTTAATATTATTAATTTATGCTTTATATACTTCTAATTATTGAATTTTTTTATTAGGAATTTATTGTATTCTGCAAAGCAATTGCCTTACTGTTTATAATCTATACTTATATATACTATGCTTATACCTTCCATAAATAGTTTATATTTTTATTTTCCTCAAAAAAAAATTATGAAGTAATACACCCTATAAAACATTCGCCTTCATAGCGGATAAATCAATAATACCTATATAAAATAATGTAAGAGAGTCAAACAGATTGCATACATTTCATCCCTGAGAGAGACGCATACAGTCAAGAGACTGATTCCTTTCTTGTAAAACCATGACATCAGTAATTGTTTATTGTTATATTTTTGTTTATAAGGAAAGCACTATTACCTTGTCAATACACAGGAAAAACTTTTATGAAGAATATGTTTTTTCGTTTAGGCCTTCGTTTTTCGTCAAATGAAAGGTATATTTCTAAAAGAAGATTTTTTAACCAAATTTGTCGACAGCCAAAATAAGTTTTAATCAACACCATACTTATATTGTAAAATACATAGGTAATATTATTTTGTGCTATTGTGGAATATTTTTCGGTTCCTTTGTCTCAACTTCGCGCGTTAAAGTTTAGAATATGCATCCCTCGTATCTACATACAATTGTTAAAATTATGAATGAATGCTGATTTTATTTGGTCTCGGAAGTAATGTTGTAGTATTTAGGCTCCACCCTTAAGTTGTAATTTTTATACCTACTAAACTACCGTTGCCCCGCAGGTCTTTTAGTTTGTAATGCAAATTTTCCTCTTAAGCGATATATTCAAAAGTACATTTCCATGTAACATTTGCTTTAAAATGGTGTTTTAATGACTATTTATGTAACCAGTTACGAAATGTCTTGTTTTATGTAACGAGTGAATATTTATGGGACGAGCAAAGCGAGGTTGTGTACAGATTTTTTATTACCAATTTATATAAATTTAAACAGTAACACAGCTGAATAATTGACTGCCTTAGTTGATGTATATGTTTACAAAATTGATTTGGTCGAGCTAGCATCGAAATGGTTTTAATGGCCCTATTTTCTTTTAATTATATCTCTTATTATTTAAGATAAAATTATGATTTGGCAACCGTTTTTAACTAGTAATATTCAAGAATACTTTTTATCAATTTTGCAGTTTTTATGACATTGGGATAAATAGTTAAAAATTCGGTAAAACAGACAATTTTTTTGGATGTATCAACAGAGATAAATAAATATTTATATACGAGTAATTTTGTGCAATTTACGTCCATGCAATTTTGAATTTGAATTTTAAATTTAATGTTCCTAACGGGATACAGAGAAAAACTTGATTTTTTAGTATTATTTTAAAGATAATATTTACTTTTGTAACATATATTAAACTTTCTTTTTGAGAATATCTCGCTTATCCACAGGATGATTTTTGGACAACCTATGCCATTTTAATCTGCAAATCAAAAAACTACCATTTCCACTATACAAACTATTTCATCTATAAAATACCAACGAAAATCTTAACTGAGCTCTTCGCCGCTTAATAATACGTTAAACTGGAATAGTACCTATGCGTATGCAGTGTGTTCGAAATTGGTGATGCATGTATTGCGATCTCCGAAACTGTTAGAGATAGAAAAACTGTTAAATGGGGAAAGTTTTAGACAATTCTATTTATAATTTAATGCCGTTTAATTTGAGATTTTTTCTCCTTTGGTTTTTGAGATATTTTGAAAAAAACTAAAATGGCGCATTTCCGAAAATACCCTGTATTTTCTTTATTTATAAAAATTTATAAAATCTGTAAAAACTTTCTTGAAGCAACTTTTTACGTAAAACACGCATGTGTCATCAGATATTATTTGAAACGTTTCGGTTTCTTGGAACCATCATCAACTTTGTTTTTTCATATGGGCGCCGTATTGGATTTTTACTGTTTTGAAAAGTCTCTTTTTTTACCTTCCTATCGATGTATCACAGTAAAAAAAAAGTTAGATTATGGATTAAAAAAACAAAAATTATGATTTTGTTTTTAATTTGGCATCGTCGCCCTATAAAACACTAACACTTAATAAGGAGATCCTATTACATTTAATCTCTAAACTGCAATTAATACCAAAATATCCTCATAATAGTTTGTTTATGATAATATCACACTCTTACAATGTAACAAAAAATAACGTCAAAAAAACATAACTATTGAAAAATACGTTAACAAAGTCAAATTAATATTTTTTAGAACACCCAATATGACCCAAAAATCATTTAATTATTTGGAATAACCAAAAACGCAGTAAATAATTATGTTTCACATCCTTGTTAGTGGAAATAAAGATAACCATGTCGTATACCTATGTTACGCCGCTGACCCACATGTTTAGATTTAAAATTTTACGTCACTCTCTGCTCTGTCTACATTATCCATTACCAATTGTTGTGTCGCATGATTCACATCGTAAAACCGACCACATTTTAGCGATTATAAAAAAGTGTAAAAGGGTAAAAACTATTGAAAATCGTATTAGAAATACGATAAATTGAAAAAGAAATGAAGGAATTCAGAGCACAAGTAGGAGAATAATGTTTTTCTTTTTATTTAACTGATTTTTAGCTTGCAGAAGATACTACTTTATGTGTAAATTTCTGCATTTAGACGAAATATTTATATATATAATATAATAAAATAATGTATATTGTTTTGCCTCTGTAATATCTACATAAAGTGGTGCTCTCTATTGTTTCTCGTATCAACTCTAATTAGCAATATTTGTAGTTAAGAATACTATATTGATTACAGCTAGTTTTAGACCATAATCTGTACTATCGTAACTCCATCTCGCGTTAGCGAAACGTAACTTTTGTAGGGTAATATAAACCATAAGTTCCTTCTTTAATAAAAATATAACTACTATTTTGTTTTTACTGTCCTGTAACCAGTAAGGATAGTATTTTTTTGGTCTTTTTTTTGTATGATCATTATTTTTAGGTAAAAGGCCGAAAAATATGTTGTATTTTAACATCAAATAACTCAATATTCAGTTAAAACTAGCACTGAATGGCATGTCTTTCGGTTGCAAACACGATGAATTTTTCGCACTTTTCTTTCCTTTAAAGTTTTTCACATTTGGTTTTGAGGCATATCATGTATATCCCAATTATCTTCGGTCCTGAAGCTAATAGACTTTCGTCTGATTACTAGATTCCTGTCATTAAATAAACTACATTGAAATGTCAGACAAAATTGGTTGCAAAAATATCATCGCCTACTAGAAAAGTTCAGCGGAAAGAACCACCCTCGTATTTTATGAATGCCGACATTTATAAAATAATAGTCATATTATGTTACTTTTATTTTTAGTTAAACAAAGTCTTAGTTCTTGCATTTATTTTCATACTAATAACTAATGTTCTAAGATGCCTGATCCGTTTGGCGCCCCATATTGTCTATGCCATTTAATTATAAATTATAAAAAAAAACAGAAAAAATAGGCACAAGAATTATTTAACAAATATTTTTAGCATTTTTAAAGCAAGAAAATACTTTAAATAAATATACGAATTGGTTAAATACAAATATTGGGAAATATGATCGAATAAAAGCCTTTAACAGATTGTTAAAAGTAAATTTGCAACAATAATAATTATATGTATATATCAGTGCATACCAATGTAATCCCCAGCAATATTTCTACTTAAGAAATATTGTGAAATTCACAACCAAATCGTAAAACTAGTATTAGGATTTATTATAATTACATTCATAAGATAAGAGTATCCTATCAAAGGATACAATGTCGTAAAAAATAAATTAGCGTAATTTCAATAATAACTAATCTGGATAGGAATTAAACTTACTATATATATTATAAAGTGAAAATCGGAAAATTGTATCTTAAAAACATGGTGTTCAAAGCAGCTTGTTTCATGTTCACTATTGCAGTTGCTGCTTCTAGCAATGACAATCTAATAGCAGTAGTACAGGTGAGCTAATTCTTTGATTTAAAAGTTTAATGCCTTTTGCTGTAATATAAGAGCCAGACTCTTAATTTTTATTAGATTATCTAGTGTTCTGTGTCGTGTTTTCTATTGGTTCCCAACATTATTTTAAGAAGAATGATGTTATTTAGAAGCAGACACGGTAGGACGTCAAGAGTTTCCACTGTCCAAAAAAATTGAATAAAATTGTACAGAACACGAGTACAAAATCGTTATATTTACTAGTGTATCCTCGGTTTAAAAATCTGATGTGTCCAACACATGACTTTCCTATCTAATTATTATAGGCTTTTTCCGGTTATTTTGTACAACCTATTGCAGCACCTCTATAAATGTTTAGAGGATAAACTAAATATATACATTTTCCACATACATCTAACTCGAAACATTTTTCTATAGACATTCATTGAAAACGAAAATACTGAAAAATTTAAATTTAACACTTTTCCTTCAATTTCTTCAATACGGTCCATTTTAGAAAAATCATATAAAAAACAAAAATTATAGAGATCGATATCACAAATAACTTTTATTTGAACAATTTTCCTAAAAATTTGAATTTTATTACATTTTGTCAAATTTCTCGAATACGAACCATTTAAAAAAAAATTGTTTAAAACTAAAATTATAGACAATAATATTGTAAGTAATTTTTATCTTAACAATTTTCTTCTCCAAACATCAATAACAGATATATTTCATAAAATATAAAAACGGCCTCCCATAAAGTACCCCCCAAATGTTCCGCCTTCGTCCAAAATCTTATCATTTCACCTCAGGTCGAAATAAAACTTAAGTTTAAAATTTAATGTTTTTTCCTCTATCTGTTTTTGAGTTTTCTTCAAAATTCAAAATTTACACATTTTCTCAAATATCTCGATTACGATCTATTTTAGAGAAATTATGTAAGTTATAATAATTATAGAGAATTATATTACAAACAACAATTTAAAAAAAATATATATTTTTTACATTTTGTCAAATTTCTCGAATACGGACCATTTAAGGAAAATTTTGTATAAAACAAAAATTTTAGATAAGAATATTATAAGTAACTTTTATTTAAAGAATTTTCTTCTCCAAACGTAAATAACGGATATATTTTATAAAATATAAAAATGACCACTAATAAAGTACCCCCCAAATCTTCCGACTCTGCCCAAAAACTAATCAGTTCTTTGGACGATGGAATAAAGCTTAAGTTTAAAATTTGGTGTTTTTCTTTGTAACGGTTCATGAGTTATGGTGGATACACACACACACACACACACACACACACACACACACACACACACACACACACACACACACACACACACACACACACACACACACACACACACACACACACACACACACACACACACATACACACACACACACACGCACGCACGCACGCACGCACACACCCACACACACCCACACACACCCACACACACACACACACACACACACACACGCACGCACGCACGCACACACCCACACACACCCACACACACCCACACACACACACACACACACACCACACACACACACGCACGCACGCACGCACGCACGCACGCACCCACGCACGCACGCACGCACGCACCCACACACACACACACACACACACACACACACACACACACACACACACACACACACACACACACACACACACACACACACACACACACACACACACACACACACACACACACACACACACACACACACACACACACACACACACACACACACACACACACACACACACACACACACACACACACACACACACACACACACACACACACACACACACACACACACACACACACACACACACGG